GTCCTGACTTCTAAGGAAACATACAGGGGTATTAAGGATGTTTGCAAAGTTGTGCAGTCCTCCCTACCACCCATCTCCTCCCTACCACCCATCTCCAGAACTCTTTTCATCTTGCAGAACTGAAACTCCATACTCTTTAAACAACAACTTCCCGTCCTCTCTGCCCGTAGCTACTGGCAACCACTGTTCTCTTTTGTTTCCATTATTTTGATTGCTCTAGGTGTCTCATGTAAATGGAGCCATACAGTATTTTTCCTTTAGTCACTGGCTTATTTCAATTAGCATAATGTCCTCAAATGTCACCCATGTTACAGGATGTGGCAGGATTTTTTTCCTGTCAAGCCTGAATTTTATTCCGTTATATGGAGACATCACATTTGTTCATGCATTCATCGGGTGGGGGACACATGTGTTCTTCTGCCCCTTGGCTACTGTGAAAGAGCTGTTGTGAGAGCATCTCGTCCAGGCTTTGCTTCCGAGACTGCTGTGTACACCCGAAGTCAACACACCATGCTCTCGTTACGCTTCCATACACAAACTGCCCCTGATTTTCTTACACCAGACACCAAAGGCTAATAGCGATAAAATACAAACAGTACCCACAAATTGCCCTTTATCATTCTTTTTTCAGTTTACTACTATTTCTGTCACTCTGCATAAACACACGAACAATAGTAAGCTATGTAACAAAATCAGAATACAAGGAATTTAAAAATGCAGATTCAGCAGCTTGATCACAGAGCTTAGGACTGTCACCCCCAACATCATGGCCTGTTACAAGGAGTCCCGCTTCAAGGAGAATCATGCCTGGGAATCAAATTCTTTGTCTCTCGGACAGGAAAAGTAGGGTCCTTGGCATTCAGCTATACAAAGACTTGTCATTTCATAAGTGGTAAGTCAACTTACTTATCTTGATCTAAAACATTTTGATTTAAAGGTTATCACCTCTGTTGAACTGCCTGTTAATATTTACCTACAATTTTGCTTATGGAGAAGTAAGTTCTCAGATGTTTGCCAAGGAAAACTGGTAAGGCCACAAAATTTAAAGAAAAATTAAAGTCCAATTAGCTCCCAGAAAATATTTTTTTAAGACTCCATTTCAAGGCCGGCGCTGCGGCTTACTAGGCTAATCCTCCACCTGCGGCGCCAGCACACCGGGTTCTAGTGTCAGTCGGGGAACCAGATTCTGTCCCGGTTGCCCCTCTTCCAGGCCAGCTCTCTGCTGTGGCCCGGGAGTGCAGTGGAGGATGGCCCAAGTGCTTGGGCCCTGCACCCCATGGGAGACCAGGAGAAGTACCTGGCTCCTGCCATCGGATCAGCGCGGTGCGCCGGCCGCGGCGGCCATTGGAGGGTGAACCAACGGCAAAGGAAGACCTTTCTCTCTGTCTCTCTCTCTCACTGTCCACTCTGCCTGTCAAAAAAAAAAAAAAAAAAAAAAAAAAAGACTCCATTTCAACTGCATTTTTTTTAAATTTCAGAAATTACCTAGTTTCCATAAAACCAAACCATTGTGCCGGCACTCATTTTTATAAATCTGATCATTGGGATTTCCTCAGGTGCCAAACATTATTAATATTTACTTCTTTTTTAGAAAGATTTTTATTAATTATTTGAAAAGCAGAGTTACAGCAAGAGAGAAGGAGAGGCAGGGAGAGGCAGAGGGATGTTCCATTTGCTAGTTCACTCCCTACACGGATGCAAAGGCCAGGGCTGAGCAAGGGCAAGGCCAGGAGCCACAGGCTTCTTCTGGATCCCACGTACGTGCAGGGGCCCAAGCACTTGGGCTGTCGTCTGCTTCCTTCCCAGGTGCATGAGCAGGGAACTGTACTGGAAGTGGAGCAGCTGGAACTCGAATTAGCACCCATATGTTGCTGCAGGTAGCAGCTTAATTAACCCACTGCCTCACAGCGACAGCCCCAATATTTAATTCTTCAATGAAAGAAAAAAAAACTTGGGGGCCAGCTGCTTCACTCTGGATCCAGCTCCCTGGTAATGCACCTGGGAAGGCAGCAGAGGATGGCCCAAGTGCTTAGGTCCCCACAGCTATGTGGGAGACCGGAAGAAGCTCCTGGCTCCTGGCTTCAGCCTGGCCCAGCCCTGGCTGTTGCGGCCATTTGAGGACTGAACCAGTGGATAGGAGACCTGTCTGTCTCATCCTTCTCTCTCTGTAACTCTATTTTTCAAATAATTAAAATAAATCTTAAAAAAAAAAAAAAGGCTCTGGAAGAATGAACAAGAACCAAGATCCAAAGCACCAGGGTCTACTGCTAAAAAGCCAAGTGCCCATAACTCTGTTGTCCCTGACTATGGCAGATTGCGCACTGAGCATTTGATTTTCATAAAATCCACATTTATTTCACATATTTCATTGCTGTAAACACATTTCTTCCATCCTCAGGCAAGTACAGCCAACAAATCATTCTTCCATACAATTTATTTCCAGACAATCGTAGATGAACTTGGGATCCAACCAATAAGGGCTCAATGTCAACACATATCCTACTCATGAAATGTACAAATGTATCATCACTGCCCACACTTCTATCTTAGTAAATTATCTTTTTGAATAATTCGTCAGAAACTTACATGGAATTCTATTATCTTAATAGTTTGTTAACAGGGGCCGGCACTGTGGTACAGTAAGTTAATCCTCTGCCTGAGGCGCCGGCATCCCATATGGGTACAGGTTCTAGTCCCGGCTGCTCCACTTCCAATCCAGCTCTCTGCTATGGCCTGGAAAAGCAGCAGAAGATGGCCCAAGTCCTTGGGCCCCTGCACCCACATGGGAGACCGGCAAGAAACACCTGGCTCCTGGCTTCAGATTGGCTCAGCTCCAGCCACTGCGGCAATCTGGGGAGTGAACCAAGGGAAGGAAGGCCTTTCTCTGTCTCTCCCTCTCACTGTCTGTTACTCTATCTCTCAAATAAATAAATAAAATCTTAAAAAAATAGTTTGTTAACATTGTTTGATTATTTGATAGTGCAAATCACCCCCTCAGAATGAGCATTTTGCTCATTTGACCATCTCCTAACTTACTTGCTATCTTCTGTTATGAAATGAAATACTTCTAATGAGTTTCTGAGGCCGCTAATAATACAACAATAATTCTATTCCTACTCTGCCTTAGCAAACAGACAGAAGGAACCTGCGGCAGTGCTGATTCACTGTACTCATCCGCTAATCAGATGTTTAATAATATCTCCAAGATAATCTAGTAAGAAAGCACAGTGCAACGGCCTCACCTGATGAGAAAGTGGGAACAGCACCCAAACTTGACTGGGACCTATTGCACTGACATTATGGAGACCAAAGCTGAAATTTAAGCCCCTTTATCTTTGGAAAAACTTCCCCCAAACAGAAAATAACTTGCTCATTCATCCCTGACCAGCAAACCATCAGTGAGTTCTTTGCCTTTCCTTGAATATCTGTGCCTGGTATCACCAGAGAAGTAATTAAAGGCACGAGGGACAAAGGAGTATTTTTCAAAGCCTTAATCACCTGGTTCCACAACTCCTGAAACATCCAAGCTCCTTGTCCTTGGAGAAAGATGAAGCTGCATTAATTAACTTTATCTTAGTTTTTGGTTTGCTTCTTAAGCAATCTTATCTCAGATCTGCAAATATAACTGTAGTCTAGGTTGCAAAAAAAAAAAAAAAAAAGACGTTGCTACTCTAATTAATACTCTAATTAAGAAGAAAACATACTTCATACTCAGGGAAACTTGAGATAAACTTCTGCTTCCTCAGAGAGTAATACAAGAAAATTTATCAACATGAAGCATAATTTGCAATCATTTTGTTTCTCATTTGTTGCCAAATCATAGCCAAGCAGTATTACTTGGGAAAGAATGAAAGAATACTCATTTTTCAGCCTATGGGTATCTCCGCATATCAGAGTGAATGTTTGTGAAAATTCCCACCTTTGATGTAAACCGAAGTCTCTTAAATTTCGTGAGAGAAGAACTTCAAGGATTGTAATTTAACAATTGTTATCAGTGTAGAAGTTCTAAAGACAATTCAATATGTATAAAATTGTCAACAGTACAGGTTATATTCTGGGGTGTAAGATTAGAAAGAATAGAATGGAATCTTTTAATGTCAATTATTTCAATATTTGCCTGTTTCATTTAATTTTTACAAGTATATAGTGCTTTTTGAGTTAAGCAAGAAACCAATGAAAATTAAACAAGATAAGGCAGCTCAGTTCACGGAAGTCAGGCCTTGGATGGTAACGGCCTCAGGTAAAGAAGTGTCCAGGTAAGATTCTTCTGTTCCAGAGAAGTACAGGCCAGGTCACAGGAGGGCGAGGGCTGTAACCACAACCTCCAAACAGATGGAGGTGACTCTAGGTTGCCAAGCATTCGCCACCACTGGGTTTCCAGGACGAAGAATGCTATCCTGGCTCCTCGACAGACCTAGAGCCTCCTGTGGGTCCTTTATTCACAGGCTGCAGCATCAACAGGAGCTCGTAGTAAGAGCCGCAGTGAGTCCTACACATTTCCTCCAAGGAACAGCTCAGTGCCTACCTCACCGCACAGAGGTAGCCCTGCGGGCATTCCCGCTAAACCCGGGGCTCTTCTCTGGGAGCCTACGCTCAGGTGAGGGCCTCCTGTGGCAGGCGGCCAAAGCGCCTCTCTGAAGGGAGGCATGGAAAAGCTTCCCACTGCTCCCAGAGAAGCCCATCCTTCATACTCCCACATCACTGGCCAAAAACATCTGAACCTAAACCTAAATCAGTACCTGTGCCCACTAAGCCAAACCAGAGTAGCACTGTTACGCAAGATCTCTCTCTCTCACTGATGCACACATACACCCCTCTATATCTTTGCACATACATAATATTTTTAAAAAACCATTATAATATTAACTCATGAAGGAAATATATAATGACAACTATCCTCTTAAAAACAACATTTTTTAAACATCATAAACAATAAATCAATAGATAGGAACCGTCCACAGACCAAGCGCTGGACTCCACTGACAGAAACATGGAGTTACCTGGAAGTCATCGTAAGGGAAGAGGAGCATCTCCCTCAAGCAGTCGTTCAGGATCTGAGTCTTCTTCTGGACGATGACATTTTCATAGTCCAGGGGCTCAATGAGCTTTGGCTTGGCCTGGAAGGCAAAAGATAAATAACTGAAACATGCTTATAGAGAGTAATTCCTTAAGATTAAAGACCTTTACACATTCCATTCCATACATTCTGTATTCTCCAGCTACACCACAAGCAGAGTGTGCTATTTTTACCATCAGCAAGGAACACAAATAAGAGATAAAAATTGCTTTCAAATGGGACAAAAGACCCTTCCTGGTACCCTGTCTACACAGAGTGAAACGCAAAGAATGTCTGCATTCTGCTAGGATGTTCAGTCATTTCTTGAGTAACCCCTGGCTAGGTCAGCTCCTTCCAAGTTTTAGGGTCTACCAGAGATGCCCCAATAGTTAGGGTCCAGCCCTGGCTTGGCAGCCAAGGCTGAATATGGAGAGGGCTCATAATTCGGCGCCATTCTTCCTGCCCCAAATGTATCCACGGGACTATCTCATACAAGGTTCATAAGGGAGGGCCAGCGCTGTGGCATGGCAGGTTAAGCCACCACTTGCAGCACCAACATCCCACATGGGATCCAGTTCAAGTCCTGGCTGTTCTACTTCCAATCCAGCTCTCTGCTAATGTGCCTGGGAAAGCAGCAGAAGATGGCCCAAGTCCCTGCCATCCACATGGGAGACCCAGAAGAAGCTCCTGGCTTTGGCCTGGCCCAGCCCCATCCTAATGGCCATTTGGGGAGTGAATCAGCAGATGGTAGATTTTTCTCTGTGTGTGTTTCCTCTCTCTCTGTAACTCTTCCAAATAAATAAATAAATAAATCTTTAAAAAAAAAAAAGGCTCCACAGAATACTTCTTTGAGTTTCACAACATCCTTCTCTACCCTGAAATATCTATACACTTACATATATAATACCTCAATACAGAATAATATGAACTGGACCAAAACCAAGCAAACAAAAAGTACCAAACAAAGGCCTGGGGGTGGGGGTGGGGCCTCAGGGAGAGGGATGTCTGTCTCTCACTAGTTTGTACTGAGTGGAAAAAGAGGTAACTGGCAAGTGGGGAAAGAAAACACCATTTCTTGCCACTTTCAAAGCCAGTCACTTCAGTAAAATCTCTTTTCTATCATCAGTCAACACCATCACATGTACAGATCACCTTCCACATGCCAGGCACCAACTGGCTAACTATGAAACATCATTCTGAATGCTGTAAAGGTGTTTATACACGTAGGATGGTATCAGAAGTAACCAAGGGGCCGGAACTGTGGCGTAGTGGGTAAAGCCACTGCCTCCAGTGCCAGCATCCCATATGGGCGCCAGTTCGAGTCTCAGCTGCTCCACTCTGATCAAGCTCTCTGCTATGGCCTGGGAAAGCAGCGGAGGATGGCCCAAGTGTTTGGGTTCCTGCACCCATGTGGGAGACCCAGAAGAAGCTCCTGGCTCCTAGCTCCTGGCTTTGGATTGGCACAGCTCCAGCTGTTGCAGCCAACTGGGGAGTGAACCAGCAATGGAAGATATCTCTTGCTCTCTTCTCTCTCTCTCTCTACCTCTACCGCTACCTCTACCTCTCCTTCTCTCTCTATGTAACTCTGACTTTCAAATAAATAAATAAATCTTTAAAACAAAAAGTAACCAAATACATTGTATCATAGTTACCATAAGATATTTAAATTTCTTTTTATTTATTTGAGAGGCAGAGAGAGAGAAGGCTTCCATCTGCTAGTTCACTCCTCAAATGCCAACTGCTCCACTTCTGATCCAGCTCCCTGCTAATGCACCTGGGAAAGCAGCAGAAGATGGCCCAAGTCCTTGGGCCCCTGCACCCACGTGGGAGACCTGGAAGAAGCTCCTGGCTTCAGCCTGGCCCAGCTTTGACTGTTGCGGCCATCTGAGCAGTAAACCAGTGCATGGAAGGACTCTTTCCTCTTTCTCTGTCTCTCCTCCTCTCTCTGTAACTCTTTCAAATAAAATTAACAGATCTTTAAAAACCAATCTGATGTACTTAATCTCAGTAAATGCCATATATATCAGTGACTATTTATATGCAGGAAATACATTAAAGATATCTGGTAAGTGACTGAGGATGATGTGTTCCCCAAATGCATTTCCCAGCCTCCCTGCGGTCAGGTACAGCCACGTGACTGCCTTTTGGTCAATGTCACATGACTGGAAGAGATGTGACACACCCTGCCCTCTGCCAGCCACTTACATAGGATCTACCCAGGATCCACCCAGGAGCGAGTGGAGCCCTGAGATAGAAGGAGACTAGCTCTTTGCATAACCCTGTACAAGGCACCTGCTTAAAGCAAGTCCTGAAGCACTCCATGAGCAAGAACTGAAATGGTTATCTGTCACAGCAGTCAGCTTTCTCTGAGTATATATGTGTATACCTGTGAAGGGGCTTCAAAATGTTCATGGAAAATGAGCAGTACGAAAAAACTGTATACTGGTTCAAGACCCAGCTGCTCCACTTCCAATCCAGCTCCCTGCTAATGTGGCAAGAAAGCAGCAAAAGATGGCCCCTGCACCCACAAGGGAAACCCAGGAAAAAGCTCTGTCCTCCTGGCTTCAGTCTGGCCCAGCTCCAGCCATTGTGGCCATTTGAGAAGTGAACAAGCAGATGGGAGGTTCTCTCTCTCTCTGTGTAACTTTGCCTTTCAAATAAATTTTTAAAAATGCAAAAAAATGCATGGATTTTTAAAATTTTCTACACCAAAATAACCTTATCTTTTAATTCCATTTTTCTATGAATTTGTGAAATACCCTTGTTAAATGCTCATATTTAACTTCAATTATTTGATTTAAGTAGACTCTCTAGAATCTAAAGAAAAAAGCAATACCCAAACAGTGCATAATTATAACTAGGTTAGACTAGATACAGAGAGTAAAAAACATAAAATTTAAAACACTAAGGCTAATACAGTGAAAGTCTAGGTAAATTATAATTGATAACAGTGGGAATCTACGTAATTCCTACTAAATGTTCGTATTTTAAATTGTTTTTGCATTTAAAAAAGGCAAAAAGACTTAAGCAAAGTAACTATTTTTGAAAATAAAAACTGCCATGGAAAATGAAAATAGTCTCCAAAATAGTTGAATTGAATTTTAAACTTGATTCATCCCTTTATTTCTATTTGTTATATTTCATATAGTAACCAGTCAACAAATGCTCATCGGCAAAACGAATGAAGATCCTGATTACAAACACCGTCCTTAGAAACCATGACCATAATCCTAACACAACCCAAACACGCACACACAGCTTTCTAAGCTTCCATTTCACAGAGGTCAGATGAGAAGCACGGCAGGGCGGGACAGACAGCACTCTCCCCTGGCTGGGGCATCTACCACGTAGCAGCAGGTCACGGAAGCTCTGCTCCATGCCGGCCCGGGGCTGGTGTAACCCCCTCCCACCCCTCCACACAGGTCAGGTGGAGGTCCCTCAAGGCCTCGTGGCAGGGACGGTGGTGCAGCGTGAGCCCGCCACACTGCTGAGGAAGGGCTTTCCTGGTCCAGGCCTTCTCATCTGGGTTTGGTTTGGTTTTGCTCTGTTGTCTGCGTGGTACTTCCGTGGTGCATACCGTCCAGAATATACACTGGCATCCCCACAGCAACTTCTAGGAAGCCCTGCTTCCCGGGGGGCAATGGGTGAAACCCAGCAGACAGCTCCCTGCCCACCAGCTCCAGCCTACAGCATCTCGGCACGTTTTATCATCCTTCCTTAGGCCACAGACACAATTCCTCCAACTGGACCTGACTTAGGTTTGGGTGCGACTAGGGGCTCTTCCAAGCGCATTTTTCCCCTTGGGTTCTGGTCTCTAGGCCCAGCAGGAAGGCAATGCCATACCCACCGTTTCTGACACGAACCTGCTCCTGTCACTTCCTCTAGTGGGACAGCACGCCCCTTCCACCAAGACGCCTGATGACAACCCCTCACGCCAGTGGGCTACAAATATTATTGTAACAACAGAGTCCTTCCTCTGAAAACAAATCCCATACACAACACAAACCTGGCATGCAGTACTTCATCCTGTAACAGGGCACCACCTTCCTCACCCTCTATGAGGCAGCCTTCGCCTTTCCTGAGCCGTGCAAGCTCCTGGCTCCTGGCTGGGGATGCATCTCACCAGGCCCTGGGGCACAGGCGCAGCTCATCCCATCAACTATCAGCGCCTTCAGGCAAGGCTGGGTTCTGTCATCTGTGTGCCTCTTAGCTTCCAGCCCAGGACCCAGAGACATATTTACTAGGGGCTAATAAAGCTTAATACCCCTACTTGTACGGCCCCCTCTCCGGGTGCTTTGTGTATAGTTCAATCATTGCTGGATATCCAGGCCTAGGAAGATTTCCAGGAGCACACTCACTGTGCCCACCCAACACCAGGACACGGGGCAAAACGAGAGCCTATGGGGCAATACAGAAAAGTCTCAAGGAATTTGGTCCTGAAATTATTTAAGGGGGCAAGGCCAGTGCTATGGCGCAGTAAGTTAATCCTGCACCTGCAGTGCCGGCATCCCAGATGGGTGCCAGTTCTAATCCCGGATGCTCCACTTCTGATCCAGTTCTCTGCTGTGGCCTGGGAAACAGTAGACAATTACCCAAGTGCTTGGGTCTCTGCACCGAGTGGGAGACCCGGAGAGGCTCCTGGCTGCTGGCTTCAGGTTGGCCCAGCTCCGGTCATTGTGGCCATGTGGGGAGTAAACCAGCAGATGGAAGACTTCTGTCTCTCCCTCTCACTGTCTGTAGCTCTACCTCTCAAATAAATAAATAAAATCTTTAAAAAAATTACTTAAGGGCATATTAAGAAAAGTCACTGCACAAACTGAGAATATTCCAAAATCATACCACTCATATACAAAAGAAAATAATTTTTTCACCAATCCTAAAAATTTCTGTGACATTAACAGATGTGAAACTGGAAGGACCTTTTCTAAACTATCAGTGACAAAATACACATTTTTACTAATCATGCCAAGGGAAAGACTGAATGACCTGTTCTTGCCTTAAAGAATGATAAAACAAAATCATGATCTCATGAAGAGGTGATAAAAAAATATGAAACCAAAA